ATAACTGATCAACAAGTAGTCAATTATTGGTTATTAATTATTCAATTATTGGTTATTAATTAGTCAATTATTGGTTATTAATTATAAATTGGTCAAATATTGGTTTATTAATTAGTCAATTATTGATTATTAATTAGTCAATTATTGGTTATTAATCAGTCAATTATTGATTATTAATTATTCAGTTCTTGATTATTAATTAGTCAATTATTGATTAATAGATAACTATTAATGAAATGATTAATGAATTATTTGCCAATTGATGTTTGATTGATTGATCAATTACTTATCAATCTATTTGATAATCCATTCAGCCATTCATTGTTCGTCCTTTTTTTCACAGATGATTATGACAAGGCGTTATCCTTACAACGAATGATTCAACTGAATCAAGAACAAGACTCAGACGCGAGTAAAGATCCAAGCGCACACAACGACAACAGTGACAAGGCAAGGAGTGCCTTTAGGAGCGTTCAACAAGGTAGATTAAATAGACACTTGTACAGTAAGGGACATACACGACCCTCAAAAATCGATCGGTAGTTCACGTCCGCCAATATCTGGGGACCAGTGACGAATCATCATTAGACCTCAAAGGCCTTCTACTAGGAATTTTATCTTAATTTTTGAACAGGTACACTTAGTTTGGAGACTCGCTTTGTTTTGCGTCCGTCACTATGGTGTAGTTTTGTATGTGTTTTTATTTCTATTCCTATCTTTTTTTTTAGGTTATGAAGAAATATAGGTTTTATGTTCTTTACTTTATTCGTTATCCATTTTAGATTCTATGACGCCTATAGTGAACGATAACGAAGCCAAAGACATCGCATCCCGTGCTGCTAAAATCAAACAAAACAAACAGAGTACAGGAGGAGCTTCCAGTTCATCTTTCCTTCCTTCCTACAACCAATACMCTGCAGGYCCAGGTATGGTCAGCCCTACGTCACCACGACTAGTCCCAGATCACTTACTCTTCGGAAACCCACACGGCACTAACCTATACCATCATGCATTTCGAGGTACAGGTTTTCATGGAGTTCCACAATTACCGAGGAATCTAATGCAGTACAGGTTAATGACTTCCGCCGGTACGGGCAGCTCGTCACAAAGTCCCCTGGCTGGTCTTTCACTACAGGGCCAACTACAAATGATGCAGGAGGTGGCCGCTATGAATGGTGGGAAGGCTTTTGATAAAAAGCGACCGACAGAGGAAAACGGCATCCCTCACAAACGCCGACGATCTTCAAACGAACATTCCGACGATAAGAGCAATAATTCGGTTTTTTCCGATGACGAGAGCAGTTCTCCAAAAAAGGACAATAGTTTCCATAGCGACAAGATAAGTCACGTRAGTGTTATMCATAAAAGTCCTGCTAATTCGCCGCTGACCATTGATGCGGGCTCAGAAACGAAAAATCGCACGGAAAACGGTTCTTACAGGCCTCATAGACTTATTCCTAAGCTGCGGTTAAACACAGACGAAAGTGTTATTCACTGGGACGTTAATCAAGTCTGCGAGTTTGTTTCTTCGTTGACGGGTTCATCAGAGATTGTGAACGAATTCAAAGAACAATGYATTGATGGGCAATCGCTAATTCTACTCAAAGAAGAACATTTATTGAACAAACTAGGCATTAAACTGGGGCCTGCGTTGAAAATACTCGCACATGTAGAAAAACTAATTGAGAAAATACCTACAGACRGTCAAGTAGCAGACGGAAGTGAGTCAGTATAGAAGACCTCGGAACTAGTGCTCAGCGGTGATAACGCCTGTAGAGTTCAAACACTAAAACCGTGAAAAGCTTTAGTAATAGTGCTAAAGTTTACTGAATAATGGGACCTTTTTTGTTTTCTATTGCATGAATGAGTTCATTAAACCCGTGAAACAAAATTTGACTGTTCATATGTGATAGTCAAATAGACACAAAAGAAAACAATGCAATCAGATCATGCTACGATGTACCAGTGTAATATCTATTTCACGGGTTTTTGACTTCTTTCTAGTACTTTTCCACGCTTTTAGAGTTTGAGCTCTAACAATTCGTGCATCGACACTATACGGTCTTTGCAATGGACCATTGCACGATTGCGTCATTTTACTTACAAGACCAGAACAAATTCACTTTCTTGTTAAAGATTTTGGTCGTTGTACGTGTGACTACTTCGACTGACTCAAGCGGTGGTCTTGGAAGTATGTGACGTAATAATAATAAATGAGCTATTTTCAGACTGGTTCGAAACCACAGGAAATCCARACATTTGCACAAGAGAATGGATTTTCAATGAAGTATAGCAATTTTTATAGAAACTCGTGTATTATTGCGCCATCCACGAGTTAAAAGACTTTAAGTTGTATTCCACACTCATTCACAAGGAGGATAACGTTCATTTCGCAAAGGATCTTTGTACTGTATGGCATTSGCCATCTCGATACTCTAGTCAGTACCATAATGCACTTCGACAAAACAACCATGACGTCATAGGATATAACTATTACTACGTGACGACTTTGCTAGCGTGACRTACCGATTTGGAGTTAAGTTTYGCGTTTTACGATAATTTTTTACCATGCGTYAACGTGGCGTAAACCGTGCAATTAAAACGTGYATAGACGTTTAGCTACGTGTTCCGTTGTCGGTGTTAACGTAAGCGTGCTGGTCACGCACAATAYTTTACGTGATCATATTCAAATAGCGTGTGTTTTATTTAATTTTACGGTAGAGATTTATACGTATACCTAATTTAATTATTTAATCAAAATACTTTACTAAAGAATCATGGCTAACCGGCATCCATTGCGAGCTTTTGTTTATATTTAAGAGTAAAAATATGCATCGAAATAAAAACTTACTCTTTATTATCCCTTTATGCTGTGTCAATAAAGATGTAGTAAGAATCGGTTTTAAAACTGACAGATGAAAACAAATTTATTGCAAATGGATATTTATCACCTCATTTTCCATATATAAAAAATGTAAAACACGACCGCATTGCATGCCGGTAGAAGGTGGCCCTTTAGTAAAATCAGAAAAAGATTGATARACAATAATCTTGACCTTTTTCCATGTTATTAAATTGGGTATACAAATGGTTTTCATTCGCTCACTGTAAATTAAAAATAATTGATTAAAAGATATAAGTAATTACTTTCGAGGGTGTCTTGTCATTTTCTTGTTTATTTATCTAAACGAGTCTATACCACGAAGATCGTGAAAATTTACCCATTTTCAAAGAAAAACCATGTGCTATAGACCAACAAAATAGCCAAAAATGGTCGATTTTTGATCAAAATGCAAGGAGTATAGCGGCCACGAAAATAATTAAAAACAACCAATTTTTCATCGATATTTGACCAAAATTCATTGGCTATTGCACACTAAAATGGCTAAAAATAGTCGATTTTCGACCAAAATTCATGGGCTATAGCCCACAAAAATGACAAAAAATGATCGATTTTCGACCAAAATGCATGGACTATAGCCCAACAAAATAACCAAAAATGATGGATTTTTGATCAAATGCATGGGCTATAGCCCACCAAAATGACCAGAAATGATCGATTCTCGACTAAAATGCATGGGATATAGCCCACAAAAATAACCAAAAATGGTCGGTTTTTAATCAACATGAATGGGCTATAGCACACCAAAATGGACAAAAACGATCGATTTTTGACCAAAATTCATGGGCTATATAGCCCACAAAAATGACCAAAAACGACCGATTTTCAACCTCAATGCATTGGCTATAGCCCACCAAAATGACCAAAAATGGTCGATTTTCGACCAAAATGCATGGGCTCTAGCCCTCCAAAATGACCAAAAACGAACGAATTTCAACAACAATGTATGGGCTATAGTCCACTAAAATGACCAAAAACGACGGATTTTCCACCTAAATGAATGGACTATAGCCCACCAAAATGACCAAAAATGATCAATTTTCGACCAAAATGCATGGGCTATAGCCCACCAAAATGACCAAAAATGATCTATTTTTGATCAAAATGCATGTGCTATAGCCCACCAAAATGACCAAAAACTGACCAATTTTCGACCTAAATGCATGGACTATAGCCCACAAAAATAACGATAAATGGTCGAATTTTCATCAAAATCCATGTGCTATAGCCCACCAAAATGGCCAAAATGATCGATTCTCGAAAAAAATCCATGGGCTATAGCCCACAAAAATAACCAAAAATGGTCGATTTTTGACCAAAATGCATGGACTATAGCCCTTTAAAATGACCAAAAACGAACGAATTTCAACAACAATGCATGGGCTATAGTTCACTAAAATGACCAAAAATTATCGATTCTCGACCAAAATGCATGGACTATAGCCCACCAAAATGACCAACAATGGTCGATTTTCGACCAAAATGCATGGGCTATAGCACACCAAAATGGCCAAAAACGATCGATTTTTGATCAAAATGCATGGGCTATAGCCCACCAAAATGACCAAAAACGACCGATTTTCGACCTAAATGAATGGACTATAGCCCACCAAAATGACCAAAAATGGTCGATTTTTGATCAAAATGCATGGGCTATAGCCCACAAAAATGGTCGATTTTTCATCAAAATGCATGTGCTATAGCCCATCAAAATGACCAAAAATGGTCGATTTTCGACCAAAATGCATTGGCTATAGCCCACCAAAATGAACAAAAACTACCGATTTTCGACCAAAATGAATTGGCCCAACGAAATAACCAAAAATGATGAATTTTTGATCCAAATGCATGGATTATAGCACTTTAAAATGACCAAAAACGAACGAATTTCAACAACAATGCATGGGCTATAGTCCACTAAAATGACCAAAATGATCGATTCTCGACCAAAATGCACGGGCTATAGCCCACCAAAATGACCAAAATGATCGATTCTCGACCAAAATGCATGGGCTATAGCCCACCAAAATGACCAAAAACGACCGATTTTCGACTAAAATGAATGGACTATAGCCCACCAAAATGACCAAAAATGATCGATTTTCGACCAATATGCATGGGCTATAGCCCACCAAAATGACCAAAAAACGACCGATTTTCGACTAAAATGAATTGGCCATAGCCCACCAAAATGACCAACAATGGTCGATTTTCGACCAAAATGCATGGGCTATAGCCAACGAAAATGACCAAAAACGACCGATTTTCGACCAAAATGCATGGGCTATAGCTCACCAAAAACGATCGATTTTTTATCAAAATGCATGGGCTATAGCGCACAAAAATGACCAAAAATGGTCGGTTTTTGATCAAAATGCATGGACTATAGTGCATTAAAATTGTCAAAAATGGCATATTTTCCAACAAAATGCATGAGCTTTAGCCCAACAAAATCGTAAAAATGGTCGATTTCTCACGAAAATGCATGGGCTTTTTAGCCCACCAAAACTCGGACAAAAAAGTCGATTTTTGATCAAAATGCATGGGTTATATATAGCCCACTAAAATGCCCTTTTGAACAAAATTCATGCCAAATGGACTATAGCCCACAAAAATTGTGAAAAGTTACCTATTTCCCAGAATCGTAAGAATGGTCGATCGATTTTCCACAAAAATGCATGGCCAGGTCCACCACAATCGTAAAAATGCATGGTCTACAAGGTCTCTAAARGGAGGCAAAAGGTGTTTATGCGATGGAGCAGTAGTTACAAATATTTACCAGTCACATCACATAAGGGCTTGAACTTCGCTATCCTTCCGTAAAGGAGAATTATTTATTGGAACGCCCACCTCTACTGATTGCGCAGATAATTGTTCAGAGGGGAATTGTATCTTTGAGTGATGTAAAAATAACACATTCAACAATACTCCTGTTTCGAGATCCTATTTGTGCAGCCTTAACCTCGAAAACATGTAATATATTCTTTTATTCAGCAGAGAGCCTATTGTAATGCAAATGCTCTATGTACAAAGAAGACAACAAACATTTTTAAATTTTTAAAAACTTGATTGAAGCTAAAGCTTGTACAAAAGAGAAGTCGAAAAACTTGAGTATTTGTACATAACTGCTATAAGACAAGCAGCGAGAAAAAAGCCGTGTGCAAAGATTCACGAAGAGTCGACATACAATACCATATTTGGTGTGGTCCATGCAATATGGAGTTTATTTCAACAAATCTCAAGAGAAATTGGCCTTAAAAACATGCTGTGGCTCACTTAGGAAATCATTAAAGAATCATAACCACCCGTCGTACCTTGAGCGCTCGCATTATTGTTTACATACGTTTAAATGCGTCAAGCATACAATAAATTATAGATTGATAGTGCCTGTGAGGTACTTAGTTAAAGGTATTTCTGTCCAAACTGTAAGGACGGAAGACGATTGGCGCTCACTTTAAGAAATCCTACAAATCCGCCATTTTCGTGTCCACCTAAAATGGTGCTTCGGTTCGCAAGGTGGTTATGATTCTTTAAATTTATCAAATATTACTCACATCAGTGCATTCATTATATCCGTGAAACACTGTAGAGTGAGGTCATTAAACCCGTGAAACAAAATTTGACTATTAAAGTGTGATAGTCAAATAGACACAAAAGGAAACAATGTAATTAGAGCGTACTAAAGTGTGTTATTGTAATATCTATTTCACGGGTTTTTTGACTTCACTCTGTAAACACAAAAACCATGAACAACTTCAGTAATAAAATGGTGCTAAATTATATACCCAATGAAGGAAATTTCACGGTTTTAGTGTAAGAAATCTATTGCTATTCATTCTTATTCAAATAGAACTTACATCCCTCAAGAACAAGGATGTTTAAGACACACGAGGCTGGTTTTACTATTAAGAAAGCCACCAGTGAAAAGGTATGATTCAAAAAATAAATAAATAGCGTTTAATACTTCATTTTGCACCAGTAGTAATTTACGTAATAGTAAACAGCAAATTCAATCTTAAATTATTAAGAAACGCAATAGAATGCACACAGTAATTGGTCATAAAACAACGTAACATAATGCACGCTATCATTGGTCGAAAAACACAATAGAATACACGCTAACATTGGTCAAATGAAAAACAATATAACGCACTCTATCATTGGTCAAAAAACATACAATGTACGCTATCTTTGGTCAAAAAATCAATATAACGCACGATATCATTGGTCAAAAAAACAATATTGTCCCAGTCTTACGACCACTCAATAAGGTCATCCTTTTATAACGGCAAGATGTTTATATCTCGTCAAATTAAAACCTCAAGTAATGTTACCTCTCATTAATACGATCAACCCGTTATAGCAGCCAATTTTCAGTGTCCGATCGGTGGCCGGATTAACGATGTTTCACTGTATTTTATGCTGGAAACCAGTCTTAATCCAAAGCATGTCAATTCAAAGAACAAGAGTCATAAGCCTTCTTTACCGTCAAAAATTATCATAGCAAAAACAAAACGTCTCAAAACAATCGCTTTTCGTAGGAATGAAGGCTGTGGATCCCACCTTCACCTTTGGCCGCAAGGCTTCGCTTTTCAAATTTCAATTGACCGCTGTACATCATGGATCGCATTGACGATAGACTCTTCGCTCCCATGTCCTGACATCCATGTTTGAGGCCTGATACCAAATATGGAACGAATCGATGCAAACTTCCTTTGTCTTCCACGGCACCCGACACCCCTTGTGCGACCTTGATTCGATGACTTTCAACAAAGTAGCGACTTTTGCTTGACTTGAATTCCAAGGCATCTAGAGAACCCATTCCTAAAAAATAATATCATGCCCAGTAGGGTATTAATTCAAATCTAACTGGAATGGACAATAAACGAAAATACAACAACAATATCGGGAACAAATCGCGCACTTTCGATGTTTTGGTTGAATACACGTTTACGACATAAACCGGAAGTAACTTAGGAATAATATAATAATAATATAATCCTATTTATATAGCGCTTATCCAATTCTGTTCTAAGCGCTTTAAAACTACATGACAACTACAAAACACATGAGAGTCTTGGTAGACTGTGAGATTGAGTTGGCGCCTCTGGCTGCCGCTGCACAGTCCGTCCCAAGATCTCAAACTAAAAATTAAAGTACAACAATCAGATTTACATCACAATAAACAAGTGTTTTTGCATGATGCCCGGTGGCTTAACCAAGCTCATTCGCGCTTTGACAGGTTTTGTTTTTAGTCCTGTTGGGTGTCATGCCACCCTCCTCACCAGTGTAGACTGGTGGGGGTGCCGGTTTAGACGCCGACGACCCGTCCATGAGGCAGGTTGTACTGGATTACAATGTTACCAGTAGCAGACTACATGTCTGACCTGACGTATTGAAAAATATTCTTTTTGAATTTAACAAGAAGCAAGAAAATGTACTTTTCCTACAGACAAGGAATTTTTCTTGAATCTAGGTGAATCTCTAGATATTTGCCATCTAAACTCCTTCAGGGCCCTTAGGCCTCGTTTCCATTCCTTTGTTTTCTATTGTTTTCAATTCACTTCCGGCTTACGTCGTAAGCATCTATAGTCTCCTGTTTTGGTTGAATAGTCTCCTTCGCGGTTACCTGCGCCATCTTGAAAGGTAGCCGTGCCTTTGCATCGAAGCAAGACGACCGTTGAGCGTGCAATGATAGATTGCTGACAATTTTTACGTGCGCACAACTTTTCTTACACTATTCGTCGATAAAACCTTCCTTGTGCCTTCCCCTCCCTTCCCCCTAATACAATGTTTTGTGACTTTCTTTTCAATTGCTGTCCGTTCATTAACACCTGCTTGCAACATTGATGCAAGAGGAAGGGGAGGGAAGGGGAATATTCCAACACAGTATTTGTAATGCCCAAGCAAAAGTTGTCAAGTATTTATGTCCAAGATTGTATGCTCTAAGTTTTAAGAATATATCAATTTTAGGATCTTCTTTGGTGTTACTTTACCTCTGTACTTCTTAAGCCTCGCGCCATTTGAGAAGTAGTACTCCCCAGGGGCTTCAGAAGTTCCCGCCAAAAGACTCCCCATCATGACAGTTGACGCGCCTACACTCAATGCCTTAGTGATGTCACCAACTGATCTCAGTCCACCATCGGCCATCACAGGGATCCCAAACCTACGAGCATACTCAGCCACTTTAAACACAGCCGTGGCCTGGGGACGACCGACTGCCATGATTTCTTGTGTGATACAAATAGAACCGCTGCCCATACCAACTCGTAAGGCGTCGGCGCCGGCATCAATCAGGTTTTTGGCTTGTGCTGCTGTCACGACATTACCAGCAATGATCTATAAAAGATTTAAAACAAAATAAAGTATGGCTTAGACAAAACTAAAAATGCGAGAAAGCTGAGGTCTTGTCAATAATGATACTCTTTCGCAGCGTTTTTTATTCGTTTAATYATAGACAACAACAAAAATGCATGAAACTCAGGCATTGCCTGATTTCATACTGTAGTACACTGCAATTGTGGGTGGAAGTCCCCAGGTAATTGCTCTAAGAAAGATCGCACTGTAAATACGAAACTTAATAAGTTTGATGTTAATCAGATCAAATCTGAACGATTTTCAGCTTTTCAAATATTCAGGATTTTACAAAGAAATGTATGGGAATTTAAAAAAGTCCGGAGCAGCGCGTCCGGCATCCTATACATTTCTTGATCGACCCCAAATTCGGACAGTTAGTATTTCAAAGTACATCCTTTCGTTCTATATAGGTTGTATTAAGCCATCATGCCAATTAATCACAGGTTAAAAATGTATACTGTATTTTTTTGTTTGTAAATAAAGAACTTATAAGTCGTTAAAGGACTTGTACCAGTCTTACACGGTATAAAATCATTCAATGGACAAGAGGTATCATGTTTGCAAGACCTTGAACCTCAGATATTACATTAGTGCGAATTCCCTTACCTCTAAGGATGGATGACGCTCTTTAATATATTTTATCATATCAATTTGATATTGTGAATTCCCTTGAGATGAATCCAATACTACCACATCTACCCCTGCCTGTACGAGAGCATCAACCCTTTGCCTGTCCCCTCCATGTGTTCCTACTGCCGCACCAACCAATAACTGTTTCTTTTTATCTTTTGATGCAAGTGGAAAATTTCTGTGAAATAATAGCAAYACTMACTGTTTATCAACAAACTCAYTCTTATGTAAAATGTGCCAACCATGATCAGAATGGCTTTTCAAAAGTTGTTTGGTTTCAACAGCCAATCTTCTTGTGGTTGGCACATGAATAACAAAGACTTACGTCACATTGATTATCGCGATAAAAGTATCATTACAAGTCATTCAAAATGATCACATCCCCCCCCCTCTGACCAGTCCTCCAGATCCATCCCTCAATCGTTTTCCATGATCCGTCCACTTTGCTCAGTCTATCTTGTTCAGTCTATATTGTCCCCCCCCCCCCCCCCCCAATCATGATCAGTTCATCAACCTTTTGGCCTGTTACACCTCTGGCGAGTTTCTCTTGATTAATCCCCTTCATCAATTCTTAGCACAAACCATTTTAAAATAAACATATACACATGCCTTGATCTTTCCCCCTCAACTAAAACTCCTCATATGCACCATAGATCACCCCCCCTTTCCTTCCCACTGATTATYATTTGTTCAGGGTGGTTCTCTTTGAGGCCTCCTACTGACTGCAGACATCAACTTCTAGTTGTCCTAGTACTGAGCAGCAACCTCCCACTGTGGTATTGGAAGAGGTGTGTCACAAATCTCCATCGATCACCCCTACTTGATAAATTACCTGTTTTTCTTAAGATCCGAGTAAGCAATCAAAGACACCAGTTCCATGTTTTCATTGACGATTGGTAATTTTCCTTTTTTGCTCTTCTGCAGTATTGCATTGGCCTCAACCAGGGTACAGTCGTCCCTAGCAACCACTAGATTGTCAACTCCTRTCATGAAATCTGACACTTGTGCGTCATACTGGTCTTCTGTGAGGAAGTCAATGTCTCTTGATGTGATGATGCCAGCCAGAACACCCCCCATGCAGCCATTTTCTAAGTAAAGGTTGAGTTGATTCAGTAGATTAACCATTTATTAATCATTATCAATCAGAATGCTATCAATAATCATTCAATAATTAATCAGGCAATCAATTTTCAACTATAATTAGTTGTTATATAAATCAATCAATCAATCAGTCAATCAAWCATTTAATGCATCAATCAATCACTTAATCAATCTATTGACCAGCCAATCACTAGTCATTCTATRATTAACCAGTCTTTCAATGAATCAATCTAGCAACCAATCGATTGATCAATTAATCAATAATCAATCAATTATTTATTCCATCAAATAATCACAAATTTGATCAATTTTTTAATAATAAATCAATCAATTATTCAAACAATACAACCAGTCAATCAAGAATTTCATCAAGCAATTAATCAGTCGATCAGTCATTTATAGCATCCTTCACAAAGTCATGCAACATTTTATTTTGCCCTATTTTGCCCTCTGGAATCCTCTTGGCTGAGCAGGGGCCTTAATTTATTTATTTATCAATCAACTAATCAATCAAAACACCAAGTAATTATTCAATTTAAAAAAACACTTTAGGCCAACTCAAAGGATGAAAGACTAACCAGTCAATGGGATTCCTGCAAAGCCAAACTTTTCCTTGATATCAATGACATCACGGATTGTATTCCTTGGACTCAGGACAATGGGATCATTAATGAAGCCTTGCTTGAACTTYTTGACTTTTCGAACTTCACGGGCTTGAACTTCTACACTACAGTTATGATGAATTATTCCTGGTATAAAAAAAATAAAGGCCATTCATGTAATGTTAATTACAGAAACTACCTGTTAACAAAAAGTTGAAATCATTAGAACAGAGTCACTTGAACCATGAAATAGAAACTAAATACTTAGTACCTAATAGGCACTATTTAGACACTATCACTCAACCAGAACAGTACAAAGAGATTACTTTGATTGTTAAAGTGTTCTCTTGGATATTGCTTATTGCATCAAATAAACTGTTCTGGTTCAGTGCTAATGACTATTAGGAACTAATAGTGCCTATTAGTTAGTACTTTTTAGTTCTTATTTCATGGTTCATGTGACTTTGCTCTATTGTAAGATTTAGTAAGTATATATTTTTAGGGAAAGTTCATGCGCCAGTGAAAGACAAACAGTTAATAGCTCTACCCATARGATATAATTAGTCATCAGAAGATAACATTTTCTATGTTTTTATCAAAGAGGTTTTCCCAATGTTCRCCTAACAATCAAAAGTGTTTCTTAAAGAAAACAGAAACATGAAAAACATCTTGAATGGTTTTATAAAATAGAAATTCTTCACTTGAAAGMTGTTTTTATGCTATCATAGAAGCACATTTTTCAACCAATCGATGTGCATTTTATACCCATTTCAGACGTCGATCTTTTGCCGTGTTTAATCTAGTTGCTTGCATGCAGTTCTCGAGAAGTTTGCAGTCTACATCGWTTGATATTTACAGATTAATATAATAAGTTTGTCCAAATAAATACTAATGTCAATAAATTCAGAGTACAAAATTCTCATAAACTCAACTCCACCAATTAGATTAGACTCGAMAAAKATCAATGTCTGRAACAGRCCTTCTTTGCGTTATTAATTTTTWGTATCCTTATCCARCRAATATAACCAATACAAAACAATATCTCCATATATGGCATGGATATAAGTGCTAWAAATGACCCTGATTGACTTCAGGCTAAGAAAGCTCTGTCCTAGCATCAACTAGTTGCAATTTTGGCTTGATTATTGTTGCCCTGGCAACAACAAATGTATTTAAAATTGCCTTATGCATTGATTTTCAAACTCATGACCACAATAAGTGGAAAACGCAATGCAAGTACAAAAGCCACAACAAAATAAACAAAGATAATTGCTGCCTTGGCCCCTGCAGCATYCTTACCTATTCCACCATGTAACGCAAGTGCAATCGCCATGTCCGATTCAGTCACGGTATCCATGGGTGAGCTTACAAACGGTGTTTTGATAGTAATATTTCTTGTCAGAGCAGACGAYAAATCAACTGCATCGGCAACAAAATCAATGAAACCAGGTAAAATGATAAAATCATCGTAGGTAAGCCCCATTTCGAAAGCGCTAAACAACGTTGCTGCGCTTAGACCATCTTCTGGGACATAACCAGTGTGACCGCTAATCAAATAGTTRACTTTAGACGGTGTTTTGGTCGACATATCGAAGGATTCAGACTGCAAAATTACCCTAAAACAGTACCAGATATATCTCAGAAGCCCAACTGTACTTAATTAATGATAATCCTGCTTCTGGTCAAATCAACAGGTAGGACTCGATCAACTCTTTAAAGTTCTTTGATTCAAAATTGACGCAAATTTCATGTCCAATCTACGCACAWTTCTATAAATATCTAGACATGAATCTTCCTCATGCGTTTTTCATGTACGATTTTGTGCTGACATTGCTCCAGTCGTGAACATTATAGCACCAGAACACTTATATCGTCTGCCCCACGCGCCGAAATATATGCTTTGCGCATGCGCGATAGTCTAAACTTTACGCATTTTGCACAATTGAATTACGCATAAAACTACGCATAAACATTGCAAGAAACGGTTATTCTTTTTATCGCCCGGTATAATAGTAAGGAATATAATAGCTATTTACTATGAAGTCAAATTAATCAAAATGAAAGCTCATTAGCAGTTCCCTTGGGGAATCGTAAGCAATCATGCAAAAATTATAAAGACAGGGACTACAAACCCATTTTACGTACCTTGAAGCAAAAAAATCCGGAAAATATCCAATTGATAACAGTCTAAAAAGTATACGAGTTCAATATTGAGCCTTGGAAAACGTGAAGAATTTTCAATTGACAGTAATTAAATATTTAATTACTAGATTAATTGTGCCTTAATTGTGCTTTTGCGTGGAAGTCATTAGTTGAAAAACACATTTAACCCAAAATTTATTAAATTGTTGTATTACAAATTCTATATATACAAATTCAGTATTTTCTTTCGTGGCATCTGCCATAAGTAACCTTTGRCAGAAACGAATACTGGTCACTTGTGAAGACATAAAGACAAACAAAGCCATTTTCATAGAAAATTTATATTCTTAGGATTACAATTGTAATYACAAACTTTAGATAAATAGCGAATTAAATGYTATGGACATTGCAAAAAAGTTTTGAAGCCTATGACGTTCAWTATTTTGCAAAGAAATTATTTAAAGTGCGTTAAATGCAAATGACTTTGTTGGCTTTATGTCTTTACATTGTCTTTACAACTTGACTGTATATTTCTATATGTCACGCTTAAATAATTTATTTTTTATTTCATGGTAATATCCATCACTGTATTTGGCTGCTCGAGTTATCGTTCTCATCTCTGAAATCGTCTTTCTCCTTTTTCAGTTTTTCTACGATGTATTGCAGTGGTTGATCAGGACGATTGAAGACGATGTCTGCTGCAAGATTCTGTCAAAACAAACAATATTAAGCATATACATAAGCATGCAAATATATTCTATTCCTTTTTTTTATTTTTAAATAGCTTCTACGGCGGTATGAACTTACCTGAAATAACCTTAATATACCTTCCTGCTCAAGATATTTGATAGATTTTAAAAACGGATTTTCATCCGTCTTATCATCCTCAGTCCCTAAATCCAAATTCTGTTTTTCCTCTTTGTTCTCTTCAGAMAGATTATCAGTTGCATTTTTAGTCTCTGAATCGAAAAGATACGAATTGATTCTGGATTGTGTTGAAGCCTTTCCCTGTGAGTCTATAAGTTGTTTAAAGCGCTCTCTCGAACCGGCAACATCAGCATAGTCTTGTGAATCAGTACTTTCAACATCATCGAGACGATTGCTTCCAATTGTAGAACTTGACAACGAGATTAAACTATGAACATCGTCTGGAATAGTATCAATATCACTCATTACAACTTCTAGCTTGAATATTGGTTAAAATAAAACCCAAAGGTTATTAATTTAGGCAAAGTGTTTATGTGTAAGCCATGCTTGCTGAAATGGCTTTTGTATCTATGAACAATAGCTTGGGATTACAAGGTCAGGAAAACAAGCTGTTGCTATGGTGATATTCGCATACGCAGACGGTATAAATGATTTTCGCTGTTTATATTTTATATATACATGCATCTACGTGGGGGGTGGCTGGTACGAAGTGGTAGCCGTTAAAACCTACTTGCAAATCCATAGATCA